TTAGAGTAGCCAGAATCCCCATAAAAAAATAAATGAATCAAGAAGAAAGAGTACATGAAGTTATCAGAAAAAAGTGATGGGGAGATATGGGAGGAGTTGGAGGGGAGGGAGTGGGCCTGGATTTGATCAAAACACTTTGGAGGGGAAGGGAGTGGGCATGGATTTGTTCAAAACACCTTATATGCATGTATGAAGTTCTCAATAAATTATTTATTTTTAAAAAAGTTTAAAAAGAAAAAAATCACTAATTCTGGGGCTGGAGAGACAGCTCAGCAGTTAAGAGAACTGGATGCTCTTGCAGAGGACCTAGGTTCAATTCCCAGCACCCACATAGCACTAACAACTGTCTGTAACTCCGGTCCCAGGGGAATCTGACACCCTCTTCTGACTTTTGGGGTACTGCACAAAACAGGTGCACTTACAGACATGCAGGCAATATACTTATATACAAAAACATTTAAAAATAATAAATAAAATATATTTTTTAAATCACTAATTCTGCTGGGCATGGTGGTGCAAGCAGACCTCCGTGAGACTGAAGCCAACCTGGTCTATAAATCGAGCTCCAGGTCTGCTGGGGCTACAGGGAGCTCCTGTCTCAAATAAACAAAAAATCACTAATTCTGAGGGCTGGCAAAATTGCTCAATGGGTAAAGGCACTTGCTACCAGGCCTGAAGATGAGTTTAGTCCCCAGGACTCACATGATAGAAAGAACCAACTCCTACAAGTTGTCCTCTGACTTCCATATGTGTTAGCCCCCAATGTTGCAGCACATGAGTACACACACACACACACACACACACACACACACACACATAAGTAAATATCTTTTAAAAATCACTAATTCTGGAGGTCAGGCAGATGAGCTGCATGTTAGTATTCTCTGCTGTACGCACCTCTAATGTAAGGATTTTTTTTTTTTTTAGGTTTTTAAAAAAGATTTTATTTTATTTGTATAAATGTTTTGCCTACTATGTGTATGCCTTGTATTTGTGGAGCCAGAAAAAGGCATTGGATCCCCTGGAACTGGAATTAAGGACAGTTGTTAGCAGCTATATGGGTGCTGGGAACAGAACAGCCAGTGTTCTTAATTGTGGAACCATCTCAACACCCTTTTAGATTGATTTTTTTTTAACTTTTACAAAACCTTTGAGAATTTCATACATGCATATAAGGTGTTTTGATCAAATCCATGCCCACTCCCTCCCCTCCAACATTTCACCCTCTGAAGAGGTAACCCTAAAATCTTTTAAGGGTTAAGTATGTTGCTAACAGGCCCGAGGACATTTTGACTTTTAGTCCAGAAACTGGCTACATTTCTTTGGGGTCTTTTTACCCTTACTGCCTAGCCAATTCCTACCTCTTATTCTTATCATACCATCATCTGAAGGGGTTACCCAAATTGCCAATAGGGAATAGGGACGCAGACCGCTCTGGCTTCTTGTCCTTTTAATAAGATGATGCTATACAGCAGTCTCTTCTGCATGAAATAACTACCATCATCATGACTTCGGCTAAGCCTGATCACTAAACAGTCACAATTGGATTTGTTGACGGTTGTGCTCATTCATTAAAGGAGTGCCAAGCATGGTTACTGAACCCTCACCTGAGTATCCAGCCACTCTTCCCAGCCAACTAGTCCAGCCTTAGAAGACAAGAGAAAACTGAGGAAGAACCCAATAGAGGGATGCTTTTGGAAGCCCTTGTCAAGAAACTCCAATGGACTCTCATATGAACATTTGAAAATTGCCCTGTTCTGACTTTTTTCTAGTTCCCTGTCTAGAACTTGTAATGCTAATTACTCTTGCCTTTACTTCTCCTTCACATCTCCTATTCATGATTCAAGGACTTTTCCCCTTAAAGACAAGAGTTATGCAATTTGGGAGTCTTTCAGATAGGCCCACTGAAGGGGCACTCCAATTGCCTCACCCTGCATCCCTGTTCAGCATGGAAACCAGAACGGTCTGTGTCCCTATTCCCTAATGTAAGGAATTGCCTAGGTTACTATTCAGGGACTTGTAGGTCCTTTTGGTTGAAGTCATCAACTCTTCATCAGAACAAATGTGTCCAGTGGATGACCGTGATGTTAAGAGTCTGAAAATGCCACCTTCAAACAGTGCTGACATCATATTTTGAACACATGCCCTATGAAAAGCTGTGCTTGATTTCGTATGTGCAAACTATTTTACCCCAATCATCTTTCTCCATGCCTCAGACTGACCACTCTACTTCCTTACCCAACATTCTTCAAAGGATGCTTGCGGAGGCAGATTTGAGACCCACTTTCATGGTTGGCTGCCTTGCCAATAAATTCTCTCTTGCAAAACTGTTTTCAGCATTTGATGTTTCAGGTGAAAAGGGCTAGTTTAGTAACAGGCTGCTGTGCAAACTGAGGCACAGAGCTCAAGCTCTGAGCACAGGCCTGACACAGACCAGGCACCAGATCTATGATAGTTCTGATTGCTACTGTCATCACTCGGCTCCCGACACCTAGAAGAATCTGTGCTTTCCTCTAGTCTCCTCTGCCTCTTATGAGTGCTCGCATAGAATATGGTCAGTGCCATATTCATCCCTCTCCTCCACTGCATCCTGAGTTCTCTAAAGGCAGTGACCTTGTCTGGCTACTCTGGGAGCCCCATACCTGGCTCTAGGCCTTATACTTGGTGGGTTCCATGTGTCTTTGCCAATAAATCCTCCTGTGTACCAGACTCCAGAGACATCTGTTTGATGAATGGTTACATCATGGCATAATACAATAAATTAAAATTCATTGCATAATGTGGCTCTCTAGACAGGGACTGTGCTGCTAGTGACATCATACTGGCTGGTGACACCAATATCATTAGTAATGTTTACTTCAGGAAAATACCCTTGGTCTAGACATATTGGAAAATGGTCCAGAGTTCTGACTGTGGCCTATAGGAATTTCCTCCCAGCAGGAGGGGGCTGGCAGTTGGTGTCCTTTCATGTCACAGTTGTGTTTCATCTGCGTCTCCATGTCTCAGTAAATAGTTTGGATAAATTATGACTACCTTTGAGATCACACAAAGCTAGAAATGCTGTGGTGGACAAGAAGCTCAGAAGAAGTCTCCTCTGGGTCTCTTCTCTCTCTGTTGACTGAAAAGAGCACACTCTAATGAAGGAAAGTTCTAGTGCTCTGCAAGCCCCAGACATGTTCCATATTCACGCATGCCTCTGGGCCAACAGCTCAGGAAAGCTGTTCCCCTTTCTATCTGGTGACCTCCTAGATTTTGTTCAAGGACCCATTATAATTCTCCATCTGGTTTTCTTGCAATAAAGGGATCTGGTATAGTCCCTTGAGGGTTTTCCTGAATCTGTATTATCCATGTTCCCAAGTTCAAGGCAATCTCAGGGCAAACAGAAAGAAGTGATAGACAGAGCCTCTTTCTTGGACGTCTCATAACAAGATCTGCAGAAAAAGGGAAATGTGCATACTAGGTCAGAGCAGCCACCAAGGGTTTTTACCACTGGTAAGACATGGACTACAGATGAGAGCACTGGGGGAAAAGATTGGAAGCTGGCAGCTAAGAACCAAGAGCAAGCTTTTAAAAATTAGAAATTGTTGGATGCGGTAGTCTACACCTGTTATCTCAGAACTCAGGAGGCTGAGGTAAGAGAATCACACCCTTGGGGCTGGTGAGATGGCTCAGCGGGTAAAGACCCCTGAGTTTGATCCCTGGGGCCCCCACATGATGGAAGGAGAGAACCCACTCTGAGAACCAACTCCTGAAGTTGTTCTCTGTCCTTCACATTAGCATCACACACACACACACACACACACACACACACACACAAATAAATATAATTTTAAAAATTTAAAGAGAGAAGCATAAACTAGAGCCTATACTGGGCTACAAGGTGGAGGCCAGTCTGGCTTATATAACAAGGCCCTATTTCAGAAAAAAATAATGTCAGAAATCCTCTATAAACAAACTTGGGGCTGGTCTTTCTGCCCAGATGCCTCTGAACAGCATCTAGAGGGGTCCTGAAAGATCAAGAGGGTGAGCTTAGGGCAGGGGCTTAAACAGAGGGTATATATAGGGCTTGGGAGCTTAGAGAATCTAAGTCCATACCACCTCCATCACCACACACGAGCATGATTTTAATTAAATCCCCATCTCTCGGTTTAGTTTGTCGTTGTTGTTTAATTAATTTATAGATAGGGTCTTTTGTGACCCAGCCTGGTCTCAAGCTCCTTACATAGTTCAAGGCCAACCTTGAACTTCTGATCTTCCTGCATTTACCTAAGTGCCTAGCTTTCCCAGTGTAGTTTTAGCTGTAACTGCCCCTACTGGAAGCTGGAACTAGATTCTTATGCTACTTTACTGGAAGATGTGAGCAACCTAACAGGCTGGGATCCCTACGGACATTTCCCAGACCCTCCAAAAGCTCTCTGGGGACCATGCTTACCTAAGTGTCTCCTTTCCGGGTTTAGTTTTAACTGTAAACTGCCCCCTACTGGAAGCTGGAACTAGATTCCTATGCTACTTTACTGGAAGATGTGAGCATCCTAACAGACTGGGCTCCCTACGGACATTTCCCAGGGCCTCCAGTTCTCTGGGGGCCATGGAGAAAGGGGATTCCGACGCTGTGGCGCTTACTAAATGTTCTAAGATCCTCATGCTTCTTCACTGCGTGGTCCCACCTGCCTATTTAACAAATAGGGAGGTCAAAGGGTTGGAGGTGTAGCTCAGCGGTAAAGGGCTTGCCTGGCCCTAGCGTGCAAAAGGAAAAAAAAAAAAAGCAAAGCAAAGAGGAAAGGAAAAAGGAAAAGTTAAGCGAAAGGTAAAAGAACGGGGAAAGGAAAAGGAGAAAGAAAGGAAAGGAGAAAGGAAAAGAAAAACCAGTGGGCCGGCCTGGCACCCTCAGGAGTCACCCTGTGCACACCACCCTACCAGCCGCATATGCCAAACGGCTTCAACCAAGGGGCGGGGCTAGAGGTGTGGGGCGGAGCCACCGAGTCACGTGATGCCCGGCCCGGAAGCTCTTGAGCTGGAGACACCCCCCTCCCCTGGTGACCCGGGTAGGAGCTGCTGATTCAACTGGCGTCCCGCGTCCACCACTATGGCTTGGACCAAGTACCAGCTGTTTCTGGCCGGGCTCATGCTGGTCACCGGCTCCATCAACACGCTCTCGGCAAAGTGAGTCTGGGTCGGGCCGGAGGGGCTGCTGGGGCCTGGGGGCGCCGAGTCCCCCCGCCCTGCGCCGTCCTTCCGCTCCTCGCTCCGCCGCTGCTCTCTGGCCGCACCAGAGAGCACGTTACCGAAAGCAGGTTCGGTTCGTGCAGTTTGTGGACCAAGGGGTGCGGGGCCGGGAAAATGCAGGGATCCGAGGCCCGGCTTTGATTGGCGATCACTTCCCGTCCCCGCGCCTCAGTTTCCTCGTCTTTGAACCGAAGAGTTGGACCGGTTCCTCCCCGCGGCGCTACGAGTGCTGCGATCCCGAGGGAGGCTGCAGGATTTGAGCACTAGAACTCCTGTTGTCGCCGGGCTTAGTGAGCTGAAGGGCCTAGGAAACCAGGAGAGGATGGCCCTGGGTCGGTCATGGAGGAGTTGGGAGTCTAAGTGGCAGAAGTTTGAGGGCAGGGAAGAGAAAGGTGAGATCCAAGTGGCTAGTCGCCCGTGCCAAATTGCCCAACGAAACCCCACCCCTCCTACCCCCATAATCAGAGTGGGCCCATTGACCTGGGGGAAAGTGATAAGATTGAAAAAAGAAAGAAGCCATGTGATCAACTCAGTGGTCAACATAAGAGTCGTTTGGTGCAGGGAAACACACTTTGTGGCTCTGCTAGCAGATGAGGGTACTGAGGGGATGGCAGGGAAGTGGGAAAAGAAGAGAGAGAGACTGGGTGCAGAATGGGGCCACAAGACCACAGAATCAAGGTGTCTGCGTGGGAGAAGAAGTGGCCTTAATCCTGACAGGGAGGCAGCGGGGCTTGTCAGCTCCATTGCATGTGGGTAACAGGACAGTCTCTAGGAGGTTGGGGACTAAGGACCAGGGCATCCTGAGGCGGAGGAACCCAGCACGACCTTTTCTCTGTCATGCAGCAAAGCCTTTAGGTTGGCTGATATCACTTGATCTCTGCACCTCCTGCAGGGCAAGGGCTTCCTTCTCCATCTAAATTCCTTAGTGACCAGAACCTGGCCTTTGTCTAAGGTGCACATGAAGAGCAGTGGACAGTGGTTGTCCAACCAAGCCTCACTTTCCACTGGGTCCTGCTAGGCAAAAAGAGACCTTATGGTGACTCCCAGTAGATTTCCTGTCCTTTGGGTGTGCTCTTGGTTACCTGTTGGGATCTGTACTTTGAGAAACTGTGAGCCTTGTGAGGGACATCTCCATTTTTTATTCACTTCTGAGGTATTTGTATAGAGATGTGAAGTGAATCAGAAGAGAGGTTAGGAGAGAAGTAGTCACTTCTTCAGGTGACTGTAAGGTTCCTACAGTGTGGGAGAGAAGGAGGCACAGGAGATGGCTTTGAGATGCTTGGTATCTGAAGTGAACAGAGACAGCAGTCACAATGGAGGACCCCCTTCCCCTAAAGAAGGGAATTCTGGGTGGGGCCTACCTGTCTCTTGGGCTCACCTCTGAGTGTCTTGCGGAGAAATTTCTCACACTAGCCAAGGAATGGTTCCAGTGGCTATAAGCCTGTCAGGGCTGCTGTCCCCAGGGAAAGTCCAAATGGTCATTTACTACTGGGATAAACTTTGCTGACTCAGTCCTTCCTTAAAAAGAGCTCCAAACCAGTCAGGTAGGAAGTCAGGGGATCCTTACTCTCAGGAAGCGCAACCCTTGGAGGCTACTGGAGAATGAGGAAGGAGGTGCCTAAGTGAGAGACTCAATCTTTGACCATGTCCCCTGTCCTGTAACCTGGTGTAGGGCCTCTCAGGAGCCACCTGTCCTGCGGTGGGCCCCAGAGTTGAAATGCAAACCATGTTTTAAAACAAACAGCGAGGAGAGAAGATGGGGGAGTGACAGGCATACCGTGAGGTGAGCTACCCATTAGGAACCCCATTGCTGGCCTGTAATTCTAAACACAAGCACATCAGTGAGGGCAGCCAGTACACAGGACCAAGGCCTACCAAGTGCCAGGCTGTCTGCCTTGGCATCGTTTCACGTGAACTCAAAGAATGCTCATTAACCAAAGAAGGAGGTATATAGGTTCATCATCCCTGGATAGAGAAACTGAGGTACAGAAAGATTCAGTTACGTGCCAACTTCAGCTCACTTCTCAAATGATGGATTCAATTTGAGTCAAAGTAGTCTGACTCTAGAATCTGTGCTCTTAACTACCAGCAGGAGTAGGTAACTGTCCTGGTAAATGTTCAATTGCTGTGATAAAACACCAAAAATAACCTGGGGAGTTAAGGGTTTATTTCAGTTTACAACTCCCAGGTCACAATCCCGCACTGAGGGAAGTTAGGGCAGGAACTGAAGCAGAAACCATGGAGGAACACTGCTTACTGGCTTGCTCCCATGGCTTGCTCAGCCTCCTTTCTTACACAGCCTAGGCCCACCTGCCCAGGGATGACACTGTCCACATCAGTTAACAATGAAGAAAATGCCTCATAGACATGGCCACAGGTCAGTCTGATAAAAGAAATCCCTCAACTGAGGTTCCCTCTTCCCAGATGGCTCTAGTTTGTGTCAAGTTGACAAAAACTGACCAGCACAGTACCTCTGCAATCCTTTTGGGAAGCTGGTTATTTATTTATCTTTTGAAAACAGGTCTCACTATGTCGCTCTTGCTGGTTTTGAACCTGGGATCCTCCTGCCTCAGCCTCCCAAGTATTGTATTTCACAACATACCACCATACCCAGTTTGTGGGCATTTCATGATTGCTATAAACAAATTTGCTAGTCTAATCCCCAAATTTATAGGTGAAGCTCCAAGAGAAATTTTTTTTTGTAACTTAGGATGTCAGAAGGGGGTTGGCCCTCATGTCTCAGGACTTTAGTCCCATTCCCATATTGGCCTTTAGACTGCATTCCTCCCAAGTCCTGCCTCCTTATGCCTTCTTCACTCATCTCCCCACTGTGTCTAGAGGTGTAAATTGTAAATGATCTATTCCCCTACCATCAGGGTGCCCTCCTGGGACCAGATAGCAAGCCTTCACTCAGACTAAGAAATCTGGCTTGTTTATCTTGAGAGCTTCTGGCAGCCTTTGGTGGATTCTTGACCCCCACAGGAGGACCTCAGTGCTTCCCCTCCTGGGGTCCCTGGGAGGATTGGGTGCCTCAGAAGAGGAAGTAGGGAAGAAGTGCTGGGACCATAGGTCAGCTCTCCTCTGCCCACTCAGCGGGGTGTAGAAGGCTGCAGAGAACTGTTACATGCCCATGAGGAGAAAAGCCATCAGCCCTGGCTAGCCCTTGCAACCCTCCCTGGGCCTTGACAGAGGCCGCTCCCTGGGAAGTAGTACTTCCCCTTTCAGTGACTTCTTCCTCATCCCCTCACCAGCCACTTTTGTGGACCATCTTCTTGAGACCAAGCTGTTTCCATCTGCCTGAACCAATGCCCAGGGTAGAGCCCCATTGTCTCAAATCTAACTGAAATGCTTCACCAGAAGAACCACAGTCAAATAGACTGTGGACCCTCCAGGGTCCTCTCCAGGACCCTCCTAAGCTCCTAAGTCACAGCCCCCTGCTGCAGGCTGTAGAGCTAGCCAGAGAGGGCTTATGAGCCTGGCTTGCCTTCATCTGTGGGCAGGAAACCCTGCCTGGAATCACCAGGCCTCTGTTTAGAGAAGTGCCTCATACTCTTCCTTTCCAACTTTAGCCTTTGGCCCCTGCCCTTGGGTTCTGTGAACTGGTTGGCATCATTGGTTCAGAGGGACTGCAGGGCCAGTTTAAGGAAGTTTTATGGTGGGGGGAGGGCAGTGCAGAAGAGTGGAGGGAGCATGTAGTTTGGAAGCTGTGTGATGAGAGGAGTCATGGGCCTCCCTGAGCCTCAAGTCTCCTCTGTGACATGAACATTACAATCTCAAGATTTTCTCACCCACAGAGATGAAAGGGCTCATCACTGTTTATCCTCTCATAATCGAGAGTCACCTGCTCATAGGGAAGGCCTGACCCTTCTGACAACCACTGGGTAAGGGAAAGAGCTAACTTGCTGAGTCAAGCTGAAGATGCGGGAGGAAATGGCAGTGATTCTCTAGGAATCAGCAGGGCCCAGTCACGTCAGACACTTCCTAGTCTCTGTAACCCCTGGTGCTGAGCCTTGAGTGTAAGCAAAGTGTACTGCAAGTAACTCACTGTCCTGCGGGTTTGTCCACCCCACAGCCTTCCTGCTGATGGCTTGGGGAACCCTGAAAGTAGCTTGTCACTGCCAGCAGAGGGGCTGGGCCTTCAGTCTGACTGGAGAATGGAAGCTGAGCTTTCTCCTCAGCTCAGCAGGGAAAGGCTGGGGTAAAAAGTTTGGGGAAACTTCAGAGTGCAAAGCTATGAAACTGGGTATTACCATTCTGGGTACCAGCCCTGGCTACTGACCCTGTTGGATGTTTATGAGTCCTGTGCCCCTCAAAAGCTATCTCTGACCCTAGGTTCCTCATTTGTGAAATAAGGCATTTTGTAGGATGATGATTGTGTGATGTATGTCATGGCTGTGGAACATCAGAGACAGTACCCTTGAGCCCATCCAGCCTTCTCTGTCTCAGTCAGCAAGGCAGTGTCCAGAGAATGAATGCTCCCCCAGAAGCTTGCTAGCCAGAATCCAATGAGACCATACTGACCCCACTCAAGGAAGGTGGTTCACACTGCATGTGGAAAAGAACAGAGAAGGTACAAAAAAGGGGTTGTTTGCATTAACTGCCTTCTGTGGGTCTCGTTTTACAGAGCTTATATTGTCTGATACTTTTGACATTCATCAGTGTTGGCCTGCTTCTCTCTAGAACTCACCGGACTTGTGTAACCTGAGGCTGAGCATTCTGAGCATTCTCTTGCTTTTCTGAGGATGAACTCCAGCAGGGTTTGACCACAGATGTGCACGTTGCTAACTGAATGAGCCTGAACTGTGTCTTGAGTCTCTAAGTCGCCCTCTGATAATGAGGATCCTTATGAAGCTTAACCAGAATGGCCCATGCAATGTGCTCAGCACAGGCCCAACACAATCAGTGCACAGTGAATTGTGAAGCTGGGCGTGGTGGGGATGCCTTTAATCACAGCATTCAGGAAACAGAGACGGGGGATCTGTATGAGATTGCGGCTAGCCTGTTCTACATAGAAAGTTCCAGGCCACCTAGGGCTACAGGGAGATCTTTGTCTCAAAAAAAAAAAAAAAAAAAAAAAAAAAAAAAAAAAAAAAAGAGAGAGAGAGAGAGAGAGAGAGAGAGAGAAGAAAGAGAGAGAGAAAGGAGGTGATGGATGAATCCAGTTGATCAGGAGAAAGCACCAGGACACAGATAAAACTCT